GTCCCGGGCTCCATAAAGCGGCCGCGAGGGCTGCGCTCTCCGTGCGTCGAGCGCGGTCGCCCGCTCAGAACAGGCGCGATGCCAGTTCGGTGCCAGGAGAGCCCGGTACTGGCAGGTAGCGCCACCTTGGCCACCTTGGGGCTAATGATTCTGTACTTTGCGCAGCCCTCGACCTACGGGAAGTTGAGCCCGAGATCGGCGCGCGGGGCTCCCTGCCTCCCCGCCCGCGCTGCCTGGTTCCTGCAGGAGCTGCCTTCCTTCGCGGTCCCGGCGGGGATCCTTTTCCAGCAGCCCCGCTTTCTCTTCGGGCCGCCCGAGACTGTGCTTCTGGGGCTCTTCTGCGCACATTACTTTCACAGGTAGCGTTTTGTCCAGCAGGCGCGGTGGGCAGGGTCCCTCCCAGGTTCCCTCACCCCGGAGCGCAGCGCGCACGGTTAGGCTGGGCAGCGCTGGGCTCGGGAGGAGCGCGGACGGGGATCCTTTTCCAGCAGCCCCGCTTTCTCTTCGGGCCGCCCGAGACTGTGCTTCTGGGGCTCTTCTGCGCACATTACTTTCACAGGTAGCGTTTTGTCCAGCAGGCGCGGTGGGCAGGGTCCCTCCCAGGTTCCCTCACCCCGGAGCGCAGCGCGCACGGTTAGGCTGGGCAGCGCTGGGCTCGGGAGGAGCGCGGAGCGCGGAGCAAAGCAGTCGGCTGGGGCGCTCAGGCGCTCAAGCGAAGGCGGTGTTACCGGTGCTACCGGCTGGGAGGCCAGCTGGGACTCTCGGCCAAGGCCGTTCCTTCCTGCAAGGCGCGCTGTCTGCAGTTACCTGCTCGTCCCACGCCCAGTTGCCTTGTTTCACCTTTCTCTCGCAGAGCTTGGCCAGGTTAATTCTGGGACCTTAGTAGAGTCTTAAGGGTTGGCACCTCCGGAAGGAAACTCAGCCCCGAGATGCCGATCAGTTTAGGGCTTGAGGAGGCAGCGGGCCAGAGCGCAGGCTCAGCTTCACAGGTGGGAAGAGAAGATGAGGTCTCACTGATTTAAGCCAGGGCCGTTCTTAAGGCCTCCCTCAAAAGGGACGAAGCTCATCACCAGTTTATCAATCCAGGTTCACTGGGACTTGAATCGTGAGTCAAACTGAGAGCACAAATGTTCTAGATGAGAAATCATCAGTTCAGGAAAACTTTGCCTTTCTAGTCTGGGAAGGAAAGACAGGGCAGAGACCAAGCCATATCAGGATTCAGCGTGTAGAATCCCAACAAAAACTCATAGAGGAAGGGAAGAACAGATTACTGAATCGCCTACAATGACCAATCACTTAGCGGCTCATTTAGCCTCACGGATACCATAAGAGATAGCTCATTACCGTGCCTACTTTACAAAGAAACTGAAACAAAGTAAGGATATGTGACTGAAGGAAGATGAGAAAGATAGTGCCCAGAAAAATTTATATCTGACTCTGTGAATCTCTGTGGTTCAAGGCCACTTAGAGTGGGTAGATAATTCCATGCAGGAGAGAACAGTTCTTGGGTAGGGAAAGGGTTGGTACAGCTGCTGAACCAAATCAAGAACTGAGCAGAAACTCTTTCTTATTTTGAGTAAATGATTCCTCGGGTCAAAAGATCAAGGACTATTTAGATTAGAAGTTAAGATAGATACCAATGCTTCTGGAAGCTAAAGGGCTTAATTCTTTCTCAAGGAAAATTGGTACCTCATGGTTGGGGGGGTGGTCAGAGATAAAAATTTCACCCTGTCTTTCCATAGCTCCCAACCTGTTCTCTAGATCTTTATTGGTGAAGATTTAGCAATTGTACCATATTAACTGAATCCTCATTCTTTCAAAAGGGCAAGTGTTGGAAAGTAGTAGTAGTGAAGTTCATATTCTTCCAACAAATATTTACAAAAAGTTTGTTGAGGACCGGGTTCCAGGGTAGTTATCTGTCGCTGCAGTTCATGACTGTGGCAGGGTGCAAAGGATGAAAGCTTATGGAGCCGATGTCCAATCCAAGCTCCAAGACGGCCTAGAGGGACTGCCCTTAACTAAGAGCCCTCAGCATGAGAATTTCATAAGGATAGCCCCTAAGGTTTGCAATCAGTGACTACCAATAAAGAGTGGCTTTTTATTGCTAGAACTAGGAAGCAAGGATAAAGAACAAAATAAAGACAATATCTGTTTGTGCCGGGATTCATGTAGAAAATTGGGGAGGGATGGGAAGGTCAGTGGATGGTATATTACACCACCGACGTTAGGGCTAATGTAAGCAACAAATCAGAGTATGGGGAGGAGGGCCTGAACATTCATTCTTTAAGACAACATGTTTTGACCCTCCTTGGACTTGTGGCCCTATAGGCTTTCTTTTAATCTAATGGTGCATTCCAGGAGGTTTTATGTGTGTGGCTCCAAAAGCCCCTTACCTGTGCATAGCCATCTCATGTATACCTGTGGCTAGTGCCCTCACATATCCCCCTTTTTTGTTTTATACACATCGGAGGCTGATCAGTCCTCCCATCTGCCTAAAAGGGTGTAGTGAGAGCTAAAAAAGAAAGAAAAAGACACACTTTCAAAGTTCATGGGGGCTGGGAGGTCAATGCCAGAGTGAAGAAAGACACTCTGAGCTAGTCACTATTTATTGGGTGTACACAATAATCAGAGGGCATATCAGGTGACTTATAGAGTGGTGGTAATTTTTTTTTTTTGATACTGGGGATCGAACTTGGGTCCTTGTGCTTATAAAGCACGTGGTAGAACCACTGAGCTAAACCCCCGGCCCCAGGTAGTAGTAATCTTATGTTGATCAGGATCTTAGGTTGATGAGGATGGTGAGATGGGCAAAGCATTCTTACATTAGTCGATGGGACGAGATAGCAGCTAATAAGGAATTTCTCCTTCCCCCAGGTGAAACCTTACTCTTTATTATTACTACTCAGTTCTCAAAGAACCAGGATATCTTCAGCTGATGTACTCTTGCCCTTGAGCATCATGGCATCATGGGATCAGCTGTGACCAGAGGCAAACGGAGTTATGTGTCTGCATGTCATAACTGGCTTGCAGGCAAGAAGACACTAGACCTCAGAAAGCCCTAGCCACAATTATGAAATCATCTAGAATGGCTCTTGACATACATGGGTTTGGGAAAGAGGAACAGAGTAAAGGTAGGAGGGATATTGGGCTTGGTAAAGAAAGGTCATCGTGGCTTTAGCATGTGGCTCTTAGGACTGGAAGGAGGAGTAAAAAGAAAATTATTTTAATCACTGTAAGAATCCAAATTTGAAGGTTGAAACCAGAGAACCAACTTCTGGGACTCACCAGTAGGCAACGTCATGGAGATGATCTAAGGTAATACTACTGGCTTTTAGTTGAAGTTTGTAACTGGATCTGTAGTCAGCACTGGACAGTGGATATCTCTCCATCAAGATCAGCATGAAAAGCACCATGGAGCATACAGTGGGCTTTGTCCCGGGTTTCAGAATGATTAAATGGAATGGGAGTGATGCTGAATGAATGGTAGCCGGCACCACAACTGAGACTGCTTATGTGTCTAAAGAGCCTGCTGGTATTTGCTGAGCCATCTGACAGCTGCCTCGAGGGCGTCAAGTCTTTGTAAAGTTTCCTTATCATACAGGTTCTAGTTAAGAGCTCAGAAGTAACATTTTGAAAATAGCCATATGTGATTTGGATGGAATGAGTTAGGGCAATGGGTACTGTGGCTGCTGTAGCTGCCAGTGCCATCTCTTCTGTAATGTCCCCAAACTGCTTTTGCCTGTGATGTTCCAGTGTTGAGGTAATTTGTTCAAGAGCAGAGTCTCCCACCTGATCACATGTAAGATTGTTGGGGAGCTAGACTTTAGCCCTCAGTCTAAGTATTGCAATAGGAGTCATGTTTAATTGAGAAATACTATTGATACATGGTGTTATGGCTTGTGTCTAGATGTCCCCCAAGCCTCATGCAGTCAGAGGTGGAGATTCTTCTGAGATAGCTGGATCTAGGGACATAAGGAAACTTTTACCTGATTTGTTATCTTTAACCCTTCTCTGTTAGCAAAGTGACACTTAACTGGAATGTACTGGTTTATAGATGTACTTTATAGGCTATGAACTGCTAACCTTTCTAGACTGACATTATCTGGATTGCAGTGTCTGGGTATCTTTAACTGTTATAATTACATAACAATCACATACATAAACATGAAAAAGTATTCCCATTATCTATATCATGATGGATTGACATGCATATTTTATCACAAATAGCTGAAGCACAAGTAAGGGAAAGCCTAAAAAAAACGATTACTGTAAATCATCAGTGTGATAAATTTTGTTTTCTTCAGTTTTGTATATTTGAATACCTGTACATTTGGGAAGCACAAATACAAATCTTAATATGTCATGAGGTTAGCAATAGTTTGGACTGCAGCTATATAGAAATATTTATATTTAGTTTCTACTCTTAAGACAGATTTTAGACTCTTTTAACTGGTTTTGTGAGATGTAACCATATTGACAAAATCTTTACAGCTTGGATAAGTTTTGGAAATGTGTTAATGACTACAAATAGACTTATTTACCCAACACACAAAAGCATCTCAGTTATGCAATAACAAAAGGCTTGTTTAATAAAAGCCAATAGAAGTAAGCATAGGTGCCAACCTTAGTTGGCAGGACTAATTTTATTTTATTGTGGGACCAGGGATGGAACTCAGGACATTGCAGGTGGGGCACCACTGAGCTAAATACCCAGACCCAGGACCAATTGTAAAGAGATGTCAAATTTTGATTATTTTATATGTTTAAGGTCCAAGCATATATTGTTTAAAAGAGATGTTGCCACCTCCTGCCTCGCAAGTGCAAGGACCTGAGTTCAATCCCTGGTACCAAAAAGGAAAAAAAAAAAAAAAAAAAAAAAAAAAAAAAAAAAAAAAAAAAATCAAAAAAAAAAAAAGAATCACCTATTAGTTACTTTCTATGTATTAAACTTATGTAGCTGTAACCCTATAACCTTAACTTTAAAGCTTAGACTCACAGCATAGTTCAAATATGTACATTCTGTCATGAACTAAGACAATAGTCATTTAATCAGCCATGAACTGATTATTGAATAGGTTATCCAATAACTGATTATTTTATAGGTTAACATTCAAATACTCTAACTCTTTTTTTTTTGATACCAGGAATTGAACTCAGGACCTTGCATTTGTGAGGCAGGTTGTGGCACCACTGAGCTAAATCCCCAGCCCACCCTTTAACTCTTAAAGCTCACTTTTAACCAAAACCAGCAATGAAAACACAAGGAACTTATTTTAGTAAATACAGAAGCTTTACCTTTATATTTACTTTTATAAGTTTAAACAAACGCTTTTCAATATTTACAGAAAATCTTACTTTA